CGCCCCGGGCCGCCTGCCCCGCGCGGCTCCCCACGCGGCCGGCACGTGCTGCGCGCGTGGCCCCGCGGGGAGGCAGGAGGGGCTCCCGCGGCCGCGGCTGTCAGCGGGGCCCGGCTCTGCCCCGCCGCGCTCCCATTCCCGTTCCCGCTCCCGTTCCCGTTCCCGCTCCTCACCTCGGCCAGCCTGGAGCCGCGCTCCCTGGGGCTGCTGCTGCGCGGCCTCCTCACGGGCAGCCCCCTGGCCGCGGCCAGGAGCGCGGTCAGGCAGACAAAGCCTAGAATAAGCGCAAGTTTCCCTCTAATCACGGACATCTCTCCCGCTCCCTCCCCTCCCTCCCTCTCGCCCCACCTCGCGCCCGCGAGGCCGGCGGCGCGCGGCGCCCGCCCCGCCGCAGCCCCGGGGCGGGGGGAGAGGCCGGGCGGGGGGCGGCGGGGCCGCCCCGCTCCGCTCCGCGCCGCTCCGCGCCGCTCCAGCCGCCCGCGCTGGGGGGTGACCGCGAAACGCGTCACGGCTTGCGGGGGCCCCGCTTCTCCTCCCCACCCCGCTTCCTAGCAGTCTGGGTGCTTCTCCTCCTCCCCTCCCGAGGCTCTCCCGGGAACGGCCCCGGCTCCCGGGGCAAGGCGGGAGCCTGCGGGCGCTCCCGGCGGGGCCGGACCCCCCCCTGCTCCCGGGCCTCTCCCCGCACCCGGCCCGCGGGTCTTTGTCCCGCTCCTCGCGGCTGCGATTCCGCCCCTCGGACATCTCCTGCAGGACGGTGCTGGCAGCCCAGGAAGCAGCTTTCCCGGGGTCTCTACAGGGGCTCGTGGGCTCTCCAATTAGGGAAAAAATTTGAGAGGGGAAGTCAGCCTTGTCAGAGAGCGGGAGAAGGGATGCGCAGCAGGGAAACGTCAGTCGGAGATGGCTGCAGCGGCGCTGGCCAGAGCCCACGTGAGCAGATTCATGCAGTGCTTGCACCTCCTTTTCAGATACCAGCGTCTGGTTTACACAAACCTGGGGCTGAGGTGAGTGGAAGGGGATGTTTAAAGCAGCCTCAGAGTGCAAGGCAGACAGGAGGTCCAGAATCCCATGCACGATGGAGCAAGAAGCCTTTTCAAACATGCCCTTGGCAGCACGACAGCAGCTGGGCCCTGGTCGCACTGGTGGGAATCCACAGGGGCAGCGCGGGAGCCGCCTCCGGCGAGGAGCAGCGCTAGGTGCCTCCTCCCTTTTCCCCCTCCTTTGCTCCATCCCTAACCAGGCGGCTGGTGCTGTCCCGCAGAGCAGCAGACACAGCTGCACATGCACTTCCCATACAGGGGAACGTGGCTCTACCTGACTTCCAAGGCAGGTTTTATCCAGCCATTCCAGGGAAACTCCACCATGGTGGGGCATTCTTTCAGATGCTGTAATATGGCTTCAATCCCTTTAACATTAAGAAAAAAAAAATACTATAACCAGAGCTCTTTTTTATTCCTTTATTATGCAGAACATAGAATATATTTGAATGGATTTTTTTCCAAGCATTTTTTTCCTCCTTTTTATTTTAACATGCATTGTTACCTTTTTAAAGCCAATGTACCATCTTTATCTTTTCCCTGCCCACAGAGCAGCCAAACTTCATGTTAATTCTGAGTGTAAAAAAAATTAGACATCTGGCATAAAATATTTTTTTTGGGGGGGGAGCCCATTTAAAAATTTTATCTAAAATGTTTTATCTACAAAAAAATCCAATATATATGTACATTATAGCAACACAGAGGCATAGGAACACAGTGCAATTTAAGACTAAGTGCTGTGCCTTGGTGACAATCCCGCCCAGGGCCTGTGGAAATGTGGGCCACCATTGGCTTCGGGGCATTAGCCTAAAGCCTCAGGCTCCGACGTTACTCTGACCTCCCTCTCTCAAACTGCTCCCAAGTTAAGGCTGCATTTAACTTCACACACCATTAGGGGGTAGCAGACTGTCTGAACAGGATGCGCTTTGGCAGAACAAAATAAATAAATAAAAAGCACTGGGGTGTCAGGGGGTGTCTGGCGCACGGGTGGTTCTGGGGCTGCCCCAGGCCTCGGCCCCTCACACAAGCCCTGCTCATGGCTGCAGGGGACGGTAACGTGGCGCTCCCGCTGCTCCCGCTGCCCTGCGCACGGTTCTCCCGCTCCAGGCGGCCTGGCGGCGGGATCCGCATCCCGGCTGCGCAGGGGTGCAGGGACCTGCTCCATTCCTGGCGTTCACACACCCGCCTCCTGCTCTTCAAAGGGCGGGCAGCCAGGGGCGAGCGCAAGGCGAGCTCAACGCCGCCCGCCCTCCCTCCCAAAACAGCAGCACATGTTGCTGAGCACAGAGTATCCGTGGGGCTAAATCCACTGCATTCTGCAGGGCCAGTTTTCATTTCAGTTCTTCACACCAAGAGTCACAGTTTAAGGCCTTCAACGCGCACCACACACAGCCCTCTCTCCCTCCTTCCCAGCCCCGCTCGGGGATGTGAACAGAGCAGCTCCAGTCTCTGCACGGAACGCTTCCAGTGACAGACAAAGCTTGGTACTCCACACAAGCACTTCATGGGGACGCTTCAGACTCACATCCGAATTTTCAACCGGGAAAACACCTTGCAAGGCAGGGAATGCTTACAGGAACACAAGCCATGACAATACCTGAAGATTTGTTTTGTTGTTGTTGTTTCCTTTTTTCCCCCAAATAGGGGGCCACATTAGGCCACGACTGGTGTTTTTCCCCAAGCAGTGATCCAACACCTCTTGGGTGCATTTACCCAACGATGGGTCATACCAGGCACCCTCCGGCAGCCCAGGGCTTCACTCACACTCAAAGGGGTAGCTCAAGTCTCCACAGAGAAGTTTCAGCCCGCACAGGCACCTGCATGTTCAGCTTCAGCACAGGTTGAGCAAAAACTGGGGTGTTTTAGACTAATATTGAGTAAATCTCTAAGTTTTGCTTTATGTGATGGGGCAAGGGAGCTCATGCATAGCACTGCAAGATGTTCTCTGGAAGGAAACGGGCACCTCATGGCTTTCCTCCAACCTTTCCAACCTGTGTGAATGGATAATATGGCTTCCAGGTGAGAAAACTGCTAGGAGTCAAAAATTTCTTCAAAGATGTAAAAAAAAAAAAAAATGAAAAATTGTACAGGAAGAGAAATATTTGTCTACTTCATGGGGAAAAGTTTTATAGAAGTGTCCCTTTAAGCATGTAAAGCTGTATTCCTATTGTAAGGATCCTTGTTCCAGTGCACACCGAAGATCCTTATACCTCTGAAAACAGGCTATGATAGATGGCCCCTTTTCTCCATCTCTGCTGTATCAGGAAGCGAGATTTCCTTCATCCACACAGCACAGGGCTGGATCACTAATTTCACTGGAACATTCCCCTTCCCTGCACCACTTCCGAGCAGCTACCACCACTTGTGCACTCCGAGAGGAAACAGCAGGAGGATCATTAAGGATGCAATTCCTTCACTGACCGACCTTGTTGCTCTGAAGCGTTTGGTCCGTTTACTCCCCAGCCTTTGCCTAAAGCAGAAACACAACTGCTCTGTAACCCTGGAACCAGAACAGCTCCTTACAGATGCTCTCAGGAGAGGGAAAAATAGAGGAACTAAACAAAAGTGTTAAATATACCATATACACAGATACTATACAAAAGTTTTGTGTCTTGTGTAAAAAAAGCCCTGAATATTCTGATACAAAAACAAACAACAACAACAAAAAAAAAACGCAACCCAAACTTTGTTTCTGTCCTGCCAAAGGACTACGGAGACATTATGAATTAAGCTAGTTCACATGAAGGTCTATTACTTGAGAAGGCAGCTTCATACAAGAAGCAGATCTCTCAGCTCTTCACTGATGCTCTGTAATAGAAACGTCTCTATTTTCTCAAGATTAAAAAATGTGGTCACCAGCCTTACACTAGAACAGCTAAAAGCTCTCCTTCACTCAGTACAGGCAAAATCTTGCTTACTAATTTCTTCAGAGAGGTATTGGGAAGGCAGCTGCTTTATGTTTAGGAATAAGTTTGGGCAGGATTCAGTACAACGCAAAACCCTTTGCTCAAGAACAGCCTTCATTTTCTTCTCAGTTTTGTGCCTCCCAAGAAATACCAGGAGTCATTTTCAATTAGAAATTCTCAGAAAAGTTGGCAGGGAATGGTCTGTTTCTTAAGCAGCTTCTCTTCCTTTGTAATCGCTCAAGACTGGTTCTTCCATTTGCTTCTACTGCCAGGACTAAAAGGAGACAGATTTATATGCGGTTTAGAGCTGTCCTAATGAGCAGTCCATTCCACACACCTTTGCCACCCTTCACGCTCTAGGCTCGCTTGATGCACCACAGTAATGCACTGCACTCCTTTACTTGTGGGAACCAAGGTTTTCAGCAAATATGAAAAGATTTTTCTGGCTTTCCTGCTCAGTTACTAACTTAAAGTGCTAAATTTCAGACTCATAACTTGCTACATTTTCAGGAGCAGTTTTCAACAGGTACTGGAGTTTGGCAAAACTGGCTCCCCTGAACAAGAGGCATCCAGAGAAAGAAGGGGAAGTGGGAGACAGGGTGGGGAGATTGCTTCCCAAAACAAATGTGGCAGGGCTGAAATGTAACCAAGGAGCCTGCGAATGCTACTAACTGCCTGGGTGATTTCTGAAATGTCTTTGCAACCCAAATTCAAAGTTATATGCAGAAAGATGCTAAATATCAGTACTGTAGCATGAACAAGTGTAATACAAATCCCAGCAAATACCAATCATTTTTAAAACACTGATATTTTCGGAATTCTTTTTACAGCAGTTAACTGAGTTACTGATATATATCTAGCCTTTTTTTGTTTGCTCCCTCCCTTCTAAAGACAAGGTGCCCTAGGACTAAATCCTAAATCCCAGATATAAGATAATGCTCTTGACTTACAGAGCAAAGATAACCCACCTCAAACTTTTCATGTCACAGTTTTCAGTGACTGACCACATAGCAGTCGCTGAAAGTCCCCGTTTGCCTGGGAACGCTTGAGACGCCTCCGCGCTGGTTCCTTCCATCAGCTCTCAAACTGCTCCAAAATCCCACTGGAATGCTACACGTTGTCCTGGGCAGGGTCACACTGCCAAGGTGAGCTCAGCCAAGGGCAGCTGACCAAATGAGATTGCTCCATACCTAGTGAGGCTGGAAATGCAGGTTACACACTTCCCAGACACAGCTGTTAGTCCAGAAGACCAGTTAATCAAAATCAGTGGACTAAATCTGAAACAGTTAGCCTGACCTAATTTTAAAACAGCCAAATATATTTTTTTCTCATCTGATTAAATTTCTGATATGTGATGGTAAAAATCTGATTCAGTGCTTTGAAATTCTCTTGCACTAAAATAGAACAAGAGCTATAAACATGTGTAGATAGATATTCTATAAAATATAAGACGATTTAGCTTTAATTCACGAGATGTATTTGCAGAACTGCTTGGTTCCAGTGACTGAAGAGCTCCATCATCTCTGTTAGCTGCAGAGTGAGCATAAAGGAACTTTTAAAATACATTTTTTGCAGCACCAGACACATTGCTTTGAGCTGCACTCTGCTTTAGTTTTAAGATAAAGACTTTGGTTAAAACACTCCACTGTCACTAATTGAACTGCCAAAACTGAATTAATTTTATGTTTCACAATGCTGAAATAATGCCATCTTTGCAGGAAATCTACATGGCCCAGGTAAACATACAGGAACCAGCAACACTGCAACCAGCTCTTGCTACAAACTTCTTGATTACTCTTCAAGGATGAATTCTGTTCACCGAAAGAATTTAAGACACAACAACTAACTAGCAGACCATCTCTAAGGTGTGCTAAAGCAAAGGGGCCTAAGGTGCTTTTTTATACTTTCTTCGGAATATGACAGAGTGGAACTTGAAAATAAGGATTCCAAGTAACTGCTCAGTGAACATTAAATTGAATCTCACAGCAGCAGAAATGCAAAAGATAAAAGATTTCAAACTCAATGCAATTGTGAGCACATTCTCTTTTCAGGAAAGGCCTATATAGACATGCAGCTACCAGATGAGAGATTTTGTGGTTACCTAAAAAATAGGCTTGATACAAGACCCAGGCTGTCTATACTGTTTGCATAAAAGCCTTGCACAGCGAGGCCAATGACAAACATCTCATATATGACAAGAAACAGTGAATTAATGTGGTAAAAGGCAGCAATCACTCCTTCACAGATCTGCGTGAAATAAGTGTTTTTCCTAGTAGTCATCCATTGCATACCCCTGATTTTTGAGAGGTTCTGATCTTACCAGGAAGCACAAGGCTTGCTTTTATTTGATTTCAAGAATATCCTTCTAGAACCTAGCACTTACCAGATATGCTTGTTCATGGTTTTATGACAGTTTTCAAGTAAAAGATAAATTCATTGGTAAATGAGAAAATAAATCTCACTAAACCTTCTTAGGAACAAATGAGAAGTATGTCAGAAGGAAGAAAAAAATCTCAGCCTATGAAGAAAACCATCTCTTAATCACTCACTCTGTTTCAAGAGGACAGTTACTGTTAAAACCAGGAGGCAGTCTGGTATCCATACTGGGAAGGGAAAGAGGCTATCCCAGAAGAGATCTGCTTGTGGCTTACAAACCTAATGTTTGGGAACAATGGTCCTGTCAGTGACTTGTCAACAACACATTTATTTAAAAAAAAAGGCTAACTTTAGGTTTTAAACACAAGTAACTGCAAAAGAAAAATGCTTTGGTTGATTACCCCTCTTGTTAAATAAGGTGAAGTTAGCAAACAACGCTTTCTCTAGGAGTTCCTGAATGATCAGACAAGTCAGCTTGCTCCTTACAGGGAAGGTCAGACACCTAGCAGTGACACTGGGAATGCTGCCATGCCAGCATCACACATGCTCACAACATCTCAGCCAGCATTGGGAAGGCTAATGGTGCATACAAAGTCAGAGCTGATCACCCACAGCCAACGAGGGTTGCCGTGAATTCATTGTGACAAATAAATAAAAAAAAACAGTACGAAAAAATAAAGCCAAGCACCTCTAGGGCCAGACCCTGAAGATACAGGAATCAAAGCTTTTGTTTCCTCTCCCTATTTACAAAATGCCATTTAGAGCTGATGTGGCCACTTCAGTATCGTGAGGAAATGTCTTGTATGCTAAGCAGTCCTAAGTGTGTTGTTCACGGACTCTGCGGCTTGCGTGCCACACAGTGTCCCATGGGGTGTGCTCCTCCCACCAAGGCACATGGAGGGAGTTCAGTCTTCTGTTTCTTCATATGTAGTCTCATCGAATGGCCGGTCCAAGAGAGGTACCAACCGGTGACGGGAATATTTCACTTGCAAAAGGTCCCCAACTTCACTGATTTCTTTTAAAGCCTAAGAAAGAGACCACAGTATATCAGCAGAGGAAAGAGATGCAAGAAAATCAACAGCACAGTTTCTTTTTGGCATGCCCACAGATTGCCATCTTACCTGAACAGAATTTTACCACATCTCAAAAATAAAGTTGCATGGGAGATTTTAGCCAACACATCTAAGGAACGAGCAAAGAAGTTCTCCTGTAGGATTCCAAGCTTTTTATCCCTAGAAAGCAAGTCTCACTGGCAGAAGTCGTTACAAAGGCAACACTTACAGGATTGATAGTCCCGAGCGCTTCTGGTGAAGTGCAAAGTTCTTCACAATTACGTCCCAAAGGCAGGTGACATCAGCAGTGATCACACTGCTGCTAGTTTGTGCAAGACGTGAAAATCCCTGCTCAGCCAATTACACTTTGCATTCTCTTTGAACAACTAGTTGGTTTATATTATAAACCAATTGATTGGTTTACAACGTATTTCATGGAAAATCAAACCCTAAGCTTCCATTTCTCTGCAGAACACTTCTGCAGCTAGGTCCAGAAAAGTCAGTCACTGCAGACCAACCTGCAACAGTAGGAGATGCTGATTACCTTATATATGGCAAGTGACAGAGATGACATCAGAAGATTACTTCCATGCCCAAAGGCTAGGCTGGCGTTTTGCACTCCTTGGAATTTAAAGTTTGTTCAGAGAGATGCACTCTGCATTCCTTCAGAGTGCCACTAACTCAACATTAATGCTATAATTTTAACATATTCTGGGTCAAACGCCTGTCTCTTGAGACTAGTTGGTAGACGGGGGTTAATATCCCTACATGCTTTTCCTTCCTGGATGGATAGCTCAAGTTTTTTGTTTCTTTAAACAATGGCCCCTCATGCTTGTTATATCTGGCAACAAGAATCTCTGCATTCTAAAATATGGGGGAATGACAAGTCCAAAGTTGGACTTCAGTAAAAACAAAAAAAAGCGTGGGCATGCTTTACCAGAGCTTTAAGAAAAGACCCCATATGGAAGCAATTTAAGGCTGAATTTGTGTTGAAAGAGTCTGTTAACTGTTATACTTGAACTCAGATTTAGGATTTTATTAATTTAAAACAAAAAGGACCATGTGACTAGCAAAGACTACAAAGGAAATGGCATTGGTGAACTCTGACTTCAGGAGAGTGTAATGTATTTTTCAACACTGAAAAGAAAGCACCAGCCCACAGGGATGCAGATTACGAGGGACTTCACTCTGATCCCGAGCCAAGTATTTTTAGGCAAGGAAGTTTTATTTACATAAAACAGTAAAAATTGTAACTGAGAACTGCTCTCCATCATGTGGGTTTATTTAATAAGAACAAGGAAGCATTACAAATATCACCATTTACAACTTGAGTTCCTCTCCCCCATGCTCCAAATGTGGATGCAGTGCATGTAAAAGAATGCCAGGGTAAGACCACTAGCTAGCATCCATGCACACACAACCTCACCAGTTCCCGATAGCACTGACTTGTAGAGGCCTTTGTCCCTCTCCAGTTTTGTTTCCTTTATTTATTTTTTTCCCCCCTCCTAGCTATTGCTGTCATAATTCAAAGGGATCTGTTCTGATGGCAGACTTAATTATTGACTGTTTCTCACCAATCCCCATTCACTGCATCAGAAGAAAACACAAGTTGTCTACACAACCACCTGCTCCTTATCAACTCTGCTTGCCAATGCTCTGGGTCTAAAATATGCAGTTGTTTTGAACTTCAAAGTAGATTATGCTAATTTGGAAAAAAGACTCCATGTACCAAGTTAAATCAGGATTTGTTCATTCATTTTGAAACTAGTAATTCATTTTGTCCTGGATTTAATTTCCTCAGACACACCCTAAAATATTAAATGAGCATTTCTCTTGATTTAGAGCATTTAGGATCCACAGAAGTACTACAGAAATGAGTCTTTAGTGTTAAAGCAAATGTACAAAACTTGAAATGTTTTCTGGGAGGTTGAAAGACTTGTAAATAGCTTGCCAGGAAAAGAACATTTTAAAGCAGAGCAATAAAAGTTACAGATTGGTTTTGGAAGGGAACAAACAGTACTTTATAAACACTCCATGAAACCAGCCTGTTTTAGTAAAGACCTTAGCTAAGAGAGGAGAAAGAATCCAGCTGACAGCAAGACTCTGTGGTTGCACATGTAATGTTAAACTGAGCGAACCTGATGTGCTCCAAGTTGTGGCTGTACAGAACTGTCTCCTTTTGGGGCAACGTGATGCGAGAGATTCTAATTTCCCTTTTCTCCCCTCCTCCTTATTCATTTCACCATGTCCACCTAGAAGCTCCTGCATCCCTCCTGTGTGCCAATGCACTCATTCCTATTAACATGCTCTAAGAGAAATCTATGATTCAATCAAAACTGCATAGTTTTGAGAGGACTTATTATGTATGTCTGTGCAGTTTAAAAATTCCCTAATTTGATCTTCTTCCACTGAAGGTTAAGTCTTCATTGCTTCAAATTGTCCTACTGATCCCTGGGACCTGGGTTTTCCAAAGGCAAGTCTTCTTGCCTCAGTCTTTACTGATAAAGGCATTGAATACCTTGGCCTTTTCCATGTCTTCTGTTACTGTGTCCCATTCAGAAGCAGGTCCACAATTCCCCTAGTCTTCCTTTGCAGTCCTTGTTGCCCTCCCCTTCCCTCTAATTGATAGGCTTTGGCTTTCTTACTCCCAACTCTGCATGCTCAGATAGTGTTTTTATATTCTTCCTAGGTCACCTGTCCTTGCTTTGACCTCTTGGGTGCTTCCTTTATGTCTGAGCTAGATCAGGAGCAACTCGTTCATCCAGGAATCAATGCACTAGTTCTAGCTCTAGTTCCTGCATATCAGGATGCACCACTTGAGCTCAGTAGAGGTAAATCCTTGAAAAAACTACCAGGTTCCTGAATTCCTCTTCCTTCCCACTACATATTCCTGGGGATTCCTCCAGGCAGTTCTCTGAACAGACCAAGCCATGCTCTCCTAACATCCAGCACTGTGACTAAATGCAGCTTAGGCTCTGACTCAGAACAGTAAAGAATGAAAAAGCATGAAGATGACCTTTGATACAGTCTAGGACACGCTATATATGTCTGGTCTAAGATGACACAAAAATAAACATAGTTACCGCTCTAAAATGTACTAAGGACAATCAGAAAATCCCATTATCCCCTGCCAACTTAATTTGTGAAAGAAGTCCATATTTAATTTTTAAGGTAGCATCTCCTAACTGTAAGGCAGGACTCCATCAATGAAAGGGACTGTCATTCCCACTGGACTGGTCCCACTGAAAGGGACCGTCATTCCCACTGGAACAGGCAAGAATATAGGATAATACAATATAATATATAATATTCCTAATATAGGCAGGAATTAGGAACTCTAGACACCAGAATTCCATTTAGGAGGTGATCACAGGACAAAACAGCTTGGGAAACTATGTTCTGAATCCAAAATGAGAACTGGAATAGCAATCTTTGGAATACAAATTCTCACAGGTAGGTCACATGCTGAAGTCTGCAGTGACTTAAGAATAATATTTATGTATAAACATATTTATATATTTTATATAATACTTCTGCATCAAGGATCAGAAGGAGCAGAATGACCTTCCTTCTCAAAGACTCAGTTCTAGAAGCCCAAGTGTGGAAGTTCAAGCCTTTTAAGAGGTAAGAATTGCCTCAAAGGAATGAGAGTGCTCTTTGCTTGATCCTTTAAAATGAGAACAGAAAGTCCCTGGGATTTACTGTAGGCAGCCATCCTCCATCATCAGGGGAAGAAAAGAGATCTGCAGTCGCTGCCAGTTTCGCTATACAAGGCTTTGAAAAGTCAGTTCAGTTAATTTGTGCACCAAACATAGAACAAAAAATAGACAACTGTTATCTCTGTTTATAGAAGGCGAGCAAGAGCGGGAGAAGATGAGATACTTACTGTATCAAGTATCTCTTTGGTATGAGCTGCAGACAAACAGAACCTGGCTCTGGACTCGATGATTGGGGTTGCAGGGAATCCCACCACCACGACACCAATGTTCCGCTTCAGCATCTCGCGCCCAAACGCGCTGCCAGAGAGAGCAAGGGACAACATCACACGGATACCAAAGGCAATGCAGCACCAGCATGAAGGTCTGCGTACATTCATTCATACAGGCCTTTGAAGAAGCAGCCTGGGAGCCTGCAACTCAGTCTGCCTCTGCTTTAGAGGCAGAACTTCTGTTCACAAAAGCCTTTTTTTTTTGTTCAATCCTGAGGTGGTCTTCCCAGAAAGATTTCACTGTATTAAGTTCTAACAAAGCTGAAAGATTATATGTGGCAGGGGCTGGTCTTTTAGCAGGCTGTCTCTAAATGGATTTGTAACCTAAGCTTGAAAATCTTTCTGATAGGAAACAGGGACTTAGGCTCAGAAGTTGACTCTGCAAGGAATTCCCCCCTGCTGCCCGCCCCCAACAGACACTTCTGCGGTTTCAAAGTTTGTTTTCACCAGCTTAATTAAGGTACACTGTGGAGACACAGGAAGCTAAGCTGAGTTAGAAGAGGACAAAAGATGTTCTGAATTGCTAAAAATGAAGTTACTTCTTGATGGTATGATTAATGCATAAAAAACACATCCCAAGTTCGGACATATTAGTTGAGCGCTGTGTTATGTATCAACACTGAAAAGCAGCTACCAAATCTAAGCTGTCCTCAGAATCAGGCTTTTGTTTAATTCGAAAAAAGTACTTTTTTCATAAGTATACTTTCTTACAAAATTTCAGTCTTAATTATTCATATAGTACTCCAAAAGTTTTTATAATGCTGTCTGTTACAGTACAGCACAAATACTACTAGTATTTGAAATATTTGCATATGCTGGAGTTATTAAAACCCAGACCACTCAACAAATTTGGGATTCATCAGTAGTTTGTTCTCCTCCTACCTCTCTGCCTCCCCCTTTTCTTTTTTTCTCTTTTTTCATTTTCAGACTTTAGTGGTGAAAGTATTGGCTGCTTCTAATCCAAGAGCTGCTTGAAAAAATCCTCTAGTAACATTCTTATGTGAAGAGTAATTTCCACTGAATTTCAGTTTTTTTAGTGCATATATGCACTTTACAGATGAATGAAATGAAAAAGCTTTTAAAACATGGAATGTGGTGGTAAAATTACTTCTTTTTGGAGAGGAAGCGCTTTGCCAATGCCTTAAGCTACAAACCCAATTCTCTCTTGACTACTTAAAGTTTCCATGTTTTATAAGTCTCAGTAACATCCACAGAAATACAAGGCAAGCCAAACTTGTGTTATATTCAGAAAAGTTTCGCTGAAGCATCCCAATTTTGAAAAAATGAGATATTTTCCTGTTAAACATACCCAATTTTTGCTGGCATGTACAGCATAAGAGGCACAACAGGGGAATCTTCATTTCCATAGATGATAAAGCCCATCTCTTTCAGTCTTCTTCTGAAATACCTTGTGTTCTCTGCCAGCTGCTGCACACAAGTTTTCCCTAGAAAGAAAACAAAGGTAAAGACAGTGAACAGAACAGTTAGACATCAAGCATAACTGCAGCACAAGACCCCTAGCTAGACTATAAAACGAGTGCACCACTTGTGCTCATGGGAATGCTAACCGTGAAATGAAGTGGGAATGAAATGTGCAGTTTCTTCTCCATCAGTGTAATATTAAGAACAATTACTCATTTTCCCATCAGGCAGTAACAGAATGGACTAAAGACAAGCATAACTTTCAAGTGCAACCATTGCCTAGTTTTATCATCAGTTTAACTTGCACCAGGATTTAACCTGGAAAACATTATGGCTATCTGCTTTTTAATAAGACTGCTCTCAATAGCTAAAAACTCCCTGGTAACTGCATGTGGAAGAAGAGTCTGCTTATCTTTTGCATAATCAACCAAAACCAACGAGTCAGCTGGGGCTGCGCAGGATACATCACCTAGCTTGTCTGTACTGATGGAAATTACTACCTTCCTCCTTCAGTCTGCTTGTTGAACTGACTACGAGGCTACACTCTAAGCTTTTTCAGTTAAACTGAGCCGGTTTAAATTACAGATTACTGCTGATACTTCACACGAGCAGCAGCTGCCAATTTTCTATATGTTCAGCCACGTCTATGCATAGTAAAACTAGTACACAGGATATCAGCCAGCCAGCATAACTAAATATACAGGTGTTCAGATACGCACAGGAATACCTATCTATAGCTTAGTTGAAGGTTAACTTTACACAACATTCTATATTTCTGTTCTGTTCAAAAAAAAAAAAAAAAAAAAAAGGATGTTGTCTTACTTAAGCAGGTAATGATTACACATATCTGATAAGTGGATACTTTAAGGAGTTTAAGAGAATAAGCACCATGCCGCTGATCAAACTATGACAGGTAACATTTAATGTTGTTTATCCTAGATTAATTTCACGTCTCTGGTCTGTAAAGTGTATTTTTGGTTAACTGATAATCCAAACACTGTCTTCATCAGATAAAGAATTCATATGCCAAAGCATTAAACATAACGCAGTGCTGCTCTATGTTGCATAGGGAACTTAGCTACCAGATATTAATCACCTTCTTTTAAGGTTGTAGATACCATGATTAACCAAAGCAAACACCAGGTCTCAAAGAAACACCCACATAAGTATGCTCTTAGCCAGAACAAATGCAATTTTCTTTTAGAATCCATATAGTTCTTCCAGCCAAGAGTATCAGACATTCCACCCACAAGCATGCAATCAAAACATAAGGGGGAAAAAAAAGGATGAAACCTGTTAAGCCCGCAAAACTCTGTGTGTCATTAGTGGGAAGGAATAAGTATTCTTAATTGCCCTCATTGCCACTTAAGACACTATTTTCCCTCTCCATCAACATCATTATTTCTTAATTTCCAACTCCTCTCCAGTGTTACTGCAGAGGTTTAATTCTTCTTCCCCCAAAACAGGAAGATTCCAGCTCAAGCATCTCATGCTTATGAAACTTATTTTGTAATCAGTTCACATTAAATCAGATACCCTGAGACCCAGCTTTCTTCTCTGCATTCAAAACATCCATCCAGTTATTTTAGGTGCCGCAAACTGCAAAATAACCCTAAAGAGGAGGGGGAAAAAAAAAAGATAAAAAAGAAAAAAAGCGTGTTTAGTCCAAGACTCCAGAGAAAATGGGCCAAAGCAATTACTCGCATTTGTAACATTCAGAGAAGGAAGAACCCAAATGTCCATGGGCAGAGCTTGAAAGAACAAACTACGGGCAGAAAGAAAAAGCTACTATGATAACCTCTGGGAATGCAGTCTTCACTCACCCCTATGCATAAATGCACAGCTTTTGACATTGAGTCTGTGATTTATAAACCCCTCAAAATGAGCACAAAGTTTGACTGCAATGAAGGCAGTCAGGTAACATAAGCATTCAGATACAGCTGCAACCATCTCTCTCCCGTGACTGTGAAGGCAGCTCCTCCTATATCACACATAGAGTTTAACAGGGCACCAGAAGTGCATCAAACAGCAGGGGGAACTTTGATATCTGAATAGTCTTTTTGTCTCTATATGCTCACACCCTTTTCAAACTGCTGGAAGCCTTTCAGGATAAAAATGAACAACCACCTTAATTTGTAGCTTGCAACTTCTTCATAACCTTCCCTAAACTCTTTCCTGTAAACAGTGTATGATTTGAAATACATCCTTAAAGATGCCAAAGAGTGCTTTGAAACGTGAACTAATTCCACACCCAAACTTCTCAGTTCTCTGCAGGGATATGATCACCTATGAGCATAAGCAACAGATTTGGGAGAGACTCACATTCTTTAGGTTTGCAGGCTCAGAAGCCGGTATGCTTTAGCTCTGCTCCAGGGCCATCTATCAATTTAATGGAAATATTGCTTCTGCAAGGATTTGTAGCCATAGCTACAAGACAATTACCAGAACCTTGAACTATATTCCATGATGCCTTCTCACTACCCACATGTCATTGCCACCTTCTGAAAAGAACTGTTGTTGTGGTGGGGCTGGACATTCAGGAATCAAAAAAGAATTAGGCAGGAATTACTTGTCCTTTACTATTTTCATTTCTGTACAACTGCTCTCCTCAGCATTTGAACACACTTAATCTCCTACTCAGATATAAAATACTGCACTTGATGAGTGATGCCACATGCTATTTGAATAGAGTTTACAAAATTACGCAAAAAAGCACACACTCAGTTGGCAGATCTATCAACATTTACTGGCTCAGCTCCACTGATATGCAGGCTATTAACTGCTACTACAATTTTAGTCACCATTTTCATGACCAGAAAAATGAAACAAGCAGCACTTTGAGACATCAGTACATAGATGCCAGTGCGTCCCCTGGGACTCGGGAAGTGTTTGAACATTCCCACAGGGCCCCAAGACCTCTTCTTAGTCCAATCATATTCCTGAGCTCAGACCTTGGTCCAAGCCCGCTCAGCTGCCAGCCCAGACTAAAGACTGAAACAGCAGCTGGCATTCTTGGCAATATGTAGCTTCATTTTAGGACCACTCAGAGATGGCCTGCTCAGACACCACCCTGCCAATTGCTCACACAGGAGTTGTGCAACAGTTCCGGGAACATCCTTTAATCCATGAAGCTGGAATGCGATGACCTTCGGGGAGGGAAGGAAAGAGGAAAGAAAGGGAGGATTACTGGAACTGAATTCTTCAAAAGGCTAGAAAACTAGAAGGCCCTTATCAGAACATCTGATCGGAAGTCCTTACGGGCCCCATAAAGAGCTTAAACCAGCTACTGACAGACCTGCACTGCAATTAGTGTACTAACTAATAACTTGTTGGCTTTTGTGTTCTTTCATGAGTTTGTGTAGTCATAAGAAGGTGGCTTTTGCAATATACCAAAACATTCTTTGTCTGCAGCAATCTGGACATCATTTCATCTAAAGCCCACACCTATCCCCTAAAGAACATGCTGCCATTGTATCAGAAGCAGAGGCTACACGTCATCTAAAAGAGAAATACTCCCTTTGTAGCTCAGCTCAGAGCTGTCCTTCTGTGGATTCAGCCGAGAATGGAACAAGAACAGAGGAAAGACCAAATAAACGTCTCTGCTTGGAAAGCTAAGATGGGCTGGAAGTTCATAGACGACAGGAAAGGAACGTGTCTTTCCTCAATGTAAGCATATATCAGTCCTAGAAGAGAAGGCAGTCTCTTTAAACTGACATTGCTCTCCTCCATACCAACAAATGTTGCACTATATGCCTTAATGCAGAATATTTGGGTGCCTTAACGCAGAATATTTGGGTGCCTTTCCACATAAACACTATTAAAAACCTCAATTAGTTTATAAAGACACGAGACATATTCACTGAAATCCTAGTGGAAAATAAATTAGTATCGCAGCCAGGACAGATTTCTATGCTAAAATGACACTTCATCACTTGAGATGGTCTCTATTTTAGAAGCCATACTGCTAAACTGGCCAAAGTTGTAGGAAAAACATTATCTACGAGACATTTAAGTGTCCAAGCAGAAATTAATTTACTACTTACCTTAGTTACCCAAAGGATATAAAGAAGCCTCACATTTCATTACATCAAATCTAAATTCAGCTTGCAATGGATGGTTTGCTCAGTGAGGCACAAAAAGAGAAGCCCACATCTATTTAGCCAGATATTACTCTTTGCAGTAAAGAGTACATAGTCCAAATGCTACAATGACTCTTAGAGCCCTGATTTGGCAAAAAGCAGATTATTAGAAATTGTACAGGAATTCATAAGATTTACATGTCCAGAATGAAAAAAAAAAACCCAACCCAGATACTTCTCAAAGCTGTGATGTGAGTAACTTCTTTATTCCACACTAAAAAATATTTCTGTAAGACAAAGCAATACTAGAATTTGTGGAAAAGACTGCTGCAAAAGATCTAATAACTGGCTTGTTTCCACTATCTGTCAAGAGTAATGAATAAGCTGTCACAGATAGTACTGAAATCCAATGAAAATTTAGTCCAACTAGGGCACGTTTGTTTTTCTCCTTCTTGTGATCTCTGGGCAGTAACTGGAGAGCGATCATCAATCTGTGCTTCCAAACAACACAACAGTTCATCAGCAAGGCTTTTGGAGAAATAAAAGGCATGTTGCACCCTGTGCAAACAGACTAGTGACTGGCAGTGAACTCCAGAGGGACAAACCAACTTCAGTGAGGCAAAGAAGCACAGGCTGAATTTTCTCCACGTGTCACACTAGGAATCACTGTCACTTAGATCTAAAACAAAGACGTTTGATGCAACACAAAGGAGACTAGATATTTAACACTTGGATCAATTCAGCCAAAGATTTCAAAGGAACATTGTAGAATACACTTTTAAAAATTGTCCCTGAGCAGTGAGATCAGAGCTATAAGCTCAAGCTGCAATACAACATTTGTTGCCACGCAAATACCAGTTCAATGGAAAATATTTCTCATTAGGTATCTATCTTGAAGTTGCTATATGCTGTACTATTAATTAATGTCAGAGCTGTTCTATATA